AACCAGGCTAGCGGTCGAAAGCGGAAGTGGGCGCGCGAGCGCGCACACATTCAAACACAAACACAAGCACAAGCGCAAACACAAGCAACCACGTAATCACGCACACAACCACAAACGCAACCAAAAACACAAACACACACACACACGCGCACACAACACACACGCAAGCACAACTACGCACACACATATTCACACACGCACGCACGCACACAAACGCACACACACACACACACACACGCACGTATTCACACACACGTGCACGCACACGCACACACACAAACGCACTCGCACACACAGACGCACACACACACACACACACTCGCGCACACAGACACACACACACACACACACGCACGCACACACACATACACACACACACACTCGCACACACATGTCCCTTTGCCGTGAATTTCTCTGCATTCTCGCTGCACCTCTTGAACTCGACGCGCGCGCCCAACCCAGCGGCAGCGATGATACAGGGGACCAAAGAGATAGGGAAAGAGAAAGAGACAATGAACGAAAGAGAGAGAGAGAGAGATAAGAAAAGAGAGAGAGAGAGAGATAAAAAAGAGAGAGAGAATGAGAAACAACAGAAAGAGAGAGAGAGAGAGAGAGAGAAAGAGAGAGACCGAACAACGGAGAGAAGAAAACGGAACCCCCACGCGCACACAAAGGGCCCAACACAGAAACTCGACGGACATGGCCTCGACGGGGCATGCCCTGGAGACAGAGCCCCGACGCCGGCCCCACAGAGAACTCTGCTCGGGGGGGGGGGCGCCAACTATGTCCCGAAGACCTCGACGAGATCTCCGCGCCGCCGATGAGGGGCACAACCGTGCGAAAGGGGCTCACGCGAACTTGCCCGCTTGATGCGTGAAGCTCCATGCGGGGCAAGGCCCGTGTGCGGGTCGTGCGGAGAAGGGCGAGGGGGCACATGCGAACTGGACCACTCAAGGACATACGCGGAGCTTCTTGTGGGGCAAGGTTCGCGCGAACGGGGTGCCGACATCGGCGAGGGGGCGCACGCGAACTTGCCCACTCGGGCTGGAGGTGGAGATCCCTGTGGGGCACGATTCGTGTCTGGATGCGCCGAAATTGCAACAAAAACTGCATAAACATAAACTTTCGGCGCTCCGCGTGCCAGGGGCGGCACTGGAGGCGCCGCTGGTGGAGGCCCAGCGCGGATCCAAGGAATCCGCGCGGAGCGCCAAACGAGAACTTGGCGAGGGAGCGCACGCGAGCTGGCCCCTGGGCACCGCTCGGACGTCCCTTCCATGCGCATGTTTCGGTTTCGTGCGTGCATTTCTCGCCAAATGATCAGGGATGCTCCTCGATGGTCCTCGCCGAAGGAAAAATCTCCACGTCCGAGCGATGCCGAGGGCCCAGTGGGGCCCCTGGTGGAGCCTCCTGTGGGGCAGGCAGGCCGCTGTGGCAGCAACATCTCTGGGGCAGGGCGGCAGGCCGGGCCGCAGGAGAGGCGGCAGGGCTTGGACCGAGGTGGGCGGGGAGGGACGGAGGAGTGGAGAAAAAGGGTGGAGGAGGGGGGAGGGAGGAGGAGGAGGGAGAAGGAGGAGCGCCCACCCCACCAGTATTGCCATGCTTCCCGTCCTCCCCCCCCCCTCGCCCCTCTCCCCACCCCCGACCCATTCCTCCTCGGAGAAAGTAGGGGTTTGGAGAGGGGCGGACCGGAGCGCGGCGCTGCGGAGAAAAAACGAGAACTCAACAACAGATACGGTTGAAAATAACAAACTGATCGTGCACGTCGGTCGCAAGACGTAGGTAAAACACATGAAGTGGGGCGCCGCATATAGTAGATTGGGTCCAGGCCCATCAGAAAACAAGAAAACACTGCAAAAGCAGATCGATCCCTGAAGTAGTAAGGCGCTTAAAGTAGATTGGCATCTGGGAATCCAAGAACACCTATTTTCAACGACCGGCGTGAAGCGGCAGCAGGGTAGGGGAGGTGGAGGAGGAAGGACGGAGGAGTGGACGCGCGGCGCCGCGGAGACAAAACGAGAACTCAATAACAGATGAGGCTGAGAAAAACAAACTAGCCGTACATCTGATCTGTCTGGTCGAAAGCTGTCCTGGTATAGTGGTCCTGTTCTCTGGGCCTCTTTCTCCTGCTCCTTTCGTGCGTGCTGCGTGCGCAGTGGACGAGGTGGAGCTTGGTCAAATGGACACTTGAACTGCTGCATTTTAACCTCTCATCTTGCGCTGTGCAATACCTCATCGCATGAGCGGCACCCACACCCTGCCCTGCCCCGCCGACACTTCAGACCGGCCTCTGGCGCAGCTTCGCAGCAAGGCCTCGGGAGCGAGCGAAGAAAGCAGGCACACAGAACATGACGACACCAATGGCGTCCGCGAGAATCAAACAACGACCTTACGGGGCCACCATGCGTAGATGCCAAATGGAAAGATAGAACGCGCTTGTGTGTATGATGTTGGCAAGCTACTTACTCATGCGTTATTGCTGCAAGCTGTCTAACCGTCGCTTGTTGTTTATGAACACGCGGCCCCTCCAGGCCAAGCATATTACATCTAACTCTGGTCTAGACATGCGTGTTTAGTTCGCCCGTGGTCCACCAGCGCATGACATATAGCGTAATCTGACTATGTGACCTTGGTCCCTGGCTGCCTCCCAGAATTTGCATAAACCATCGGAGTATGCACAGCTGCCGTTCGACGGCACAGGATGTCACATAATGGTGTCGACGTGCTTCAAATATACATTCAGAGTGCTCGAAGATGCCACGCATCGCCCACTATTTCACCTGATGCGACCTGAATGGCCTCCAATGTCGCCCAAAGTTGCATCCAACCAATATTGCCTCCAGGGAGCGAAACGAATGGACTCATATGAGTTTTAGCTACGTTTCTGACTTAGCCTCCAAGAGGTCCAAGGGCGGTCCCAAGATTGTTCCAAATCGGCAACCAACGACCCCAACAAACCCCCCGCATGTTGCCCAATATGGTTCCATCCGGCGACCCGGTGACAAAGCGCGTGAGACGATTGGCGGGCAAGCCATACCCCTTTCCCCCTGCCAGGGGGCCCAAAAAAGAATTCGTGGGGGGGAGGGGGGGGGTCCCTTCCCGTGCCGTTACGTAGGGAAACCAACAAGTACCGATTTCGCTACTCCCCGGACCTCTCCTGGGGTGCGTCCTGACCAGGATTTCGCGGCGAATCCGGCGATGGCGACGAGGGCCTCCCAGGAAGCCCCAAGGGGAAAACGGGCAAAGAATAGCGGTATGGGTGCCTCTTCCTCCTCTGATTACAAGCAAATCAAAAATGTTACAAACACGGTAAAACGTCGCGCTGCCGAAAGCGAGACCCGCTTCGCAGGCCTGGCCCCAGGTTGTGTAAGGACCGTCCAATTTGGGCAGGCGATGCCCCGTGTTGTGGAAGGCCAAATGTGCGCGGGCAGGCCCAACATCATGCTGCGCTCAGCCCCGTCAGTGTCGGAAGGCCTGGTAACATGATGTCGAAGGTCCGCTCAAGAAGTCCCAGGCACTGGCTGCGATGCGGCGCGCTCCTTCGGTTGGGGAAACTACCATGTTGCGGAAGGCCTGGCTAGGAAGGCCCAGGCACCAGCGGCGCACCGGAACGCTCCCTACAATCAGTGGACTATTGTTCCCAGTGAGATTTGAACGAGCATGTTAGCGTATCGAGGCCGTTTGGGGGAGCAAACGTCATGCTCTGATCCTCATTGCATGCGTGGCCTGTTTGGCTCAAGTGGCGCGAGCGCGTGCGCGTGCGCGATGCCTCCCATCAGCTCTTTGGCAACAACAAGGGAGGTGCCGAAACGCTCATCCCAAGACGAAAGGGTTCACCCTTGGGCCTGGGGAACTGACGCCGTCAAGAATGACAGCGGACTGTATCAACGTACGCATGGAATTTCAAGCGGATCTACTTTTGGATGTGCGAGCGGATCCAAGTCCGGTTGTGATGTACAGTCGGGGCGTTGACCTAAGGAACCCTAAATAAGGAACGAGGCCCCCTTTTTCCATAAGTTAAACTTCGATTTCCTATCGAAAACATAAGGAAAACCTGAGGCAAGCTGCGAAACACTTAAGGAACGCGGAGCCCCTCCCCAACCAAAAGGGTTCCTTCTTCAGGGCCCCGACTGTATGTTGGGGTGGATCTGATTTCCGTCTGCGTGGATTCAATGTAGCTTTCCCCGGGTCCAATTTCCGTTCAGATGTTTCATACGGGTCTTCATCCGACCTGTGCAGACTGGCAATGCTGAGTTAATATGGGGACCAAGATGGAAATCAGTTCCGAGACCCAAGACCGCGCCCGCGCCAAATTCCTGAGAGGAAAAGGACATCTAATTGCCACGGGGGCTGTCGGCTGTTCGTCTCACTCCCATCCACGTTCCAACGCATAGATCACACTCAGTATGTTGGCAGCGCGCTCAAAGGGGTAGGGGGAGGGGGGAAGGCTTCTTAGGAGGAGGCTGCTTCATTGAAGGCGCTGGCCCCACATCTATAGATAAGGCCCGCGCATTCTAAGAAGCAGGTGTGGTTCTAAGAAGGCTTCCCCCCTCCCCCATACCCCCCTCTGCGCGTGGCCGAGCATGAACACTTCCTCATCTCTCCTGCAGCGCAGATGCCGACAAACGATCCGAACGCAACGCGTTCGGCAGCGATGACGATCTCACACCCTCGCACTTCAAGAGGAACACTTCTCGTCCTGGGTTAGGTGCGCTTTTGAGATGCCTCTCCAGACAGAACTGGCCTCGGACACCCAAAGTATCGAACTCAGCCAGAATTCTCATTAGCAAAGGAACACGCTGTGTAGGCTGGGGAGCCACTCTGTTGCGGAAAGCGCGATTACTTTGGGCGGGCGGATCGAATCGGATCGGGAGGATCGGGCGCGGTCGGCGGAACCAGCCGTAAGGCCTCTCCAATACTTCCGCAGGATGCCCCAAAGACTCCCCGAGATGACCCCCAGAGGCTCCACCTTGGCGCCGAGAATCGCCAGGATGGCCACGAGGTGTCCCCAGAGGCTCCATGATGCCCCCCAAGATCAGCCGCGATGGCACAAAAAGGAGCCAAGATCCCCACGATTGCCCAATGTGCAAAGCAACATGTAAGGCCGCACCACGAAGCCCTCAAGGCGACTGCAACAAGCCCACAGCCCCTTGGTGGCCCCCAGAGCTATGGCTCCATTCGTGAGAGGGGTGGGGGGGCTGGCGGCAAACGGGCGCGATCTAGACGGCGCGAACGGGCCCCGGTAACAGCAGTTACCCAACAGCGTTTGTGATAATTAGGTGGCCCCACCCCAGCATCTGGCACCTCCGCCCCGAATCGCGATCGCAACGCCACGTGAATGGAACAACCAAACTGGTCTCAGGATGGACGCGCGAGTTCCCTTGTATGCGACCCCCTCGCCACCTCTGCATATTACCACACCCGCCTCCAACACACGCTAAACATACAACAGCACAACTGACGGATTGAAAACGCGAATGTGATTTCGACCTCGCAATGCGAACGTGACGCTTCCAATAGCAAGCCGCACGCTGGCCTGTCAAAATGCTGACAAGACGTAACGCATGCACAATCCGATGGGCCTCCTTAGGCTAAGTAGGTCCTCCCATGGCACGTTACCTCACGGAGCAGCAAGGCTCAAGCACTGTATCGGAGATATCCTTGCGTGCTTACTTTGCCGATGAAAGTCAAGCTATACATTCGATGATCATGCTGAAAAGTTCGGCACTGGAGACAGCGCATGCCTCGACATCACCTGCTTGAAACATGAACTCACCCCTGCATGACCAACTGCCGAGAGGGTGGATCCGCTAGTGTCCCTCTGGGACCAGCATGCATGCACCTTATCCTGTTCCTCCTCCACCTCCTCCTCTTTATGCCCCTTCTTCCCCCACCGTGCCAACAGTACGGCATGTCTTCTTCTGGCTCTTTGAAGAGCAGCACTGTCGACGGTAACTGATGAACTGTGGGATGAGCTTGTTTGTCCATGGGTTGTCGAGCCTCCTTGTCAGAGGGGAGTGTGTAATCCTCAATGAGACGGGCGTCACACGTTTGAAGTCATTACCAGCTTAATTCGCAACCACTTGTAGGGGTACTGAGCAAGCTGCGTTTCAGCTCCCGGCTCTGACATATGGGCCAAAGAGCGCTCGGCGTCCACGAGCACGCGCAGCACGGGGCCATGGTGCCATCGGAGAGGGCTCCGAACATAGTGAAACATGAGTGTGGCAGCATACCCGAATGAACCACTGCGACTGTGAAACGAATCTCTTTCTCTTCGGCGGCGGCCAAGAGGGGGGCGTCCAAGAGGGGGGGGGCGCAAATCATGGCCGGCGGCATGTGCGCGGCTCAGGGGGGGGGGCTGGAGACGTATTGAAATCAGAAGAGGCGCCGTGAAATCTGGGGAGATCTCATGCCCCTGGCCATGAGATCTACCCCCCCCCAATCATCACCCCCCTCTTTGCCGCCCCCCATCTCTGGGCCGTACGAGCGGTGAGACCGGTCCGCGCGAAGCGCCGATGATGTGGAAATCTTCCAACACCAATACGCGTAGGTGCTCACCTCCCGCCCCTCTTCAAGGCTTCTCTCTCTCTCTCTCTCTCCTCTGCGAACGCGGCGCCGCCTCATCCATCCCAGCGCCCCGTCCCGCGTCTGAGCGGCCAAGGAGGGAGGAGGGAGGAGGGAGGAGGGAGGAGGGAGGAGGGAGGAGGGGGGAGGGAGGAGGGAGGAGGGAGGAGGGAAGAGGAGGAGGAGGAGGAGGAGGAGGTCTCAGAATCGTCGCCCGGCCTTGGTCGCTCAATTTTCTTCGAACCAATTCGAGCGAAGGCACATCGGGAGCGCACGATCAGCCATGAGGCGAGAACATGCAGCATGCACAATACTCCGAAGCACCTGGAGGTCTCCATGGGTCTCCCAGCAGGCGTGCGCTCCCGAGGCTCCAGACCATAGAAACGCCCTGCTCCTCGAACCTTATCATCGATCCTCGACGTCCGGGACTCTCATCCCAGTGCGAATCGAGGCTCAGACGGAGAAGGCAGAGCCCGAAACGCCGCGTGCCGCGCAGTGCATGTGCATCTTGTGGTGCGCTGTCGAATGAAGGGGCCCTGGGACACAAATACATACACACAAATACAAAGATTCCCCATATTTTCCAATCTTTTCTGGGTTTTTGTCTTCCCCCCCATTTTCCATATTTTTCTACATTTTCTGGGGAATCGGATTCATTGTGTCTGTGTGTTTTCTTCCCTCTTGATCGAAGCCGCCACCGTTCCACGCTGCGCGACCAGGGGCAAAGCCCAAAACCGAGCCCGGCAGAATCAGCGAAGTATAGCTACGACTTCGTGTCCGACCATGGACCCCCTGTTAATGCGGGATGACGATTCATACAAACAAATGTGAGAGAACGATTAAAAAAATAGTTGTCTGCTATCTCTGCACAATTTTCTGACTGGAGGAGAGCGATTAAAAAATCCACGAACCAGTTACGACTTCGTGTTCGACCATGGACCCCTTGTTAATGCGGGATGACGATTAATAAAAAATGGGAGAGAACGATTAAAACATTTGTTTTCTGCTATTTCTGCACAATTTTCTGACTGGAGGAGAACGATTAAAAAATAGTTTTCCAGCCCGCGGCCGGTTTTTGCTAATCGTCATCCCGGGCGCCGCCGCGTGAACACGACCCCCGGTCATTTATTAATCGTCATCCTCCATTACCATCGGACTTTGGCGGTCCCTGGCGGCCATCGCGGTCCTCGGCGGTCTTCGTCGAGAAAGCCTGATCGCTGCGTTCAATCAAGGACCCAGGATCGCACATCTAAGCTGAACAATGGAACGACGCCGCGATCGTCTGCTTACTCGCTTGTGCAAGAGCCTGGGCGGGTTCAAGCGAATTGCGCCGGCTTTTCAGGGAGAGGACTCGCAAAAGAGAAGGCACGCGGGGCAAGAGGCCCTTTACTTATCCAACCGTGCAGGATGTGCGAAGGAGGCAATTGGCAAGTGTGGCGACTGCGCGCATCTCCGAAGAGGCCCGGCAAACGGGCGCTCAGCATCAACCATACACCCTCCACCTGGCTCTCTCACTGCAATCTGCGATCGCCCGACGGCGTCTTATGCATTCCCACCCCCTTGTCCCTGGAAACGCTGATCTTACCAGAGAATTTCGTTCCGCGCACGTGGCAAATCTTATCAACAACGTGACAATTCTGCCTTTCCCCTCCACCTAAATGTTCTGACAAAGTGCGAATACTAAACAACAAATGATGGTGTGCTTTCAAGTTGGATCCGTGTCCATATTCGCACGCACTTTCTCCTGCACTGCCCTGGATGGAGTGCGGAACAATATTTCCATTTGCGTCTTGTAGTCGAGCCAGACGACACGATACGACAAAGTGATGAAAAATAGCGGCTGAACAGTGCGTGTGGACAACTGTCGCGTCTCACCTTTGTTGGAGTGGCGTGCCGTCTGCACAGTGCCTCAAATGCTCGATGTATGTTGCAAGCATACAATGTGCGTTTCAAGTCGGGACATGCTTGTTTTGGTGTTGGTTCCCTCCATTGGCCCTCGGTCCGTATCAATGCCAGAACAAGCCTCGATGCTGTTTCAACCTGTACTCGAAAACAATCCCTGACCACAATACGGCTCTAGGACTCCCTGGTAATACTTTACGTAGAACTTGCCGATTCCAAGGTGGTCAGACCGCACAGCCAATTCTACAGATCACGGCCGTAACTGAGTGTATGTTGAACATCGAGGCTGCGGAACAGATGCACGACTACGCATATCTGTGCATGAGCAACTATGATGGCAATGTGGGAAGAAAAAGACTTCTGATCCTCATCCAGCCGAAGAGAAAGTGACGACTTTATCTCATGCCCGTCCCCTCAACACCTCGAGGCACCGACGTGTCGCAATACTCCGTCAGGAAATCTGCAATGTTGGCGAGGCGGCCCTCCACAGGCTAGCAGTGGCAGATCAATGTAATTTCGTGGACAGAGTGCCACCTCTTGAACCTTCATGATTTGGTCTGTCCAAGAATCGCATCCGCACTGCACTTCGCACGCACACTCACACAGACACACAGACACACAGACAGAGACACACAGACACACACAGACACACACAGACACACACAGACACACACACACACCCACACACACACGCGCACAAAACACAAACACACACACACACGCACACACACGCACGCACACACACGCACACACACGAACACACACAGACACGCACACACACAAACACATACATGCACACGCACACGCACACACACACACACGCACGCACACACGCACACACACACGCACACACACACACAGACACACACAAACACACACACACACACACACACCTTGGCACCATGACAGAAACTTATTCTCCTCTCTCACAAACAAGTGGGCAGCAGTTCCTTTCTGGCACAAAGCTCTCGCAACTGTTGTCGGGCGGTGGGCACCCATATGCCTATACGCTGTTTGTGTTCGAGCGGCCACCACGAAGAGTAGTTTCTGGACGCGACCCCAGCGATACTAAGATTTCCCCCGCCCCTCGCGGGGGCAACCAAGCCTCGCAGGACAAGCTTCATCGGCCTACAAGCTTGCGCTCGCGGTGCGCAGCGGGACAATCGACAGTATCACGGTGCTGTAATAACTTGGCCATGTGGTACGGCGGGCCAAAGCACGCGCCTGGGGCAACGTCAAACGCCCACACCCAGGGGTGATCAAACAAAATGTTGTGTTCTGACGGGTTCCAAAATCGCGGGCAAAACGGCCCACGCGTGTTGCGGGGCCCGGCGCTCGCGGGCGAGGAAAACAACCTTTCTTCTCGGCTCGAAATTCCCGAACGGAAAGACCCCATGTGTTATGCTGGCCCGAGGCCTACGGGTGAGAAGATCCCACGGAGCGACTGAAAAAGTCCGTACGCATGAAGGCATAGCGACCTTACGCCGCGGCTTACGCGGGCCGCCACCGTGGCACACCGCGATGAGAAGAGGGAACTTAGGCGCGACCTCGCGCGGGAAACCTATGCGCGAATGTCCACGCAATCGACAACGTGTTCTTCCGTCGATCATGTGTCTGGTAGGGCCCGAACATATTGAACAAAACAGACCAGTGAGCTCAAAGGAATCTGGAACTCACGGAAAAATGTCCCGCGTGGCTCACGGGGCGCGTGCGTGAGCGTGACTGGGGACGTGTTTGGGGGACGCGTCAGGGGGCAGTGTCGACGGGCGCATCGAAGGCCCGAAGCTCCTCAATCGTTTCCACCCTCCAAACGCAACCAAGACCCCCAAAAGCAACAACGCAGCGTTACGGCCACGCCGCGCTACAAGATCACAGCTCTGCTTCATAATGCGCGGCCCAAAAATGTTGGCTGCCAACTTGGCGCCCACCCCCTCCTGCCGGCCCCGCGTAACGGCCCGACCCCCCCACGCCGGATCCCAAGCCGTGATGCCGTGAACCAACTTTGGGTCTGCGCGCCACCCCCGCGCTCCGCTCTCGCCGGGTCTGGAACCTCCCGTCCGGACCCCTGGTCTGGACCTCCAGACCCGGGTCCAGACCCTCGCGGCTGGTCTGGACCCCCCAAATCCAGCCCCCGGGTCTGGCCCCCCTGGTCTGGAACCGGTCCGGACCACCTGCAGCGAACAGCGCACCATACCGGTTCATGCTGGCGCCGCTTTGCAGCCACTGCGCGCACAGGAGGTCTTGCCCCTGTCTGCACTCTCGCTGCCCTACTTGTGGGCCACCGCCGTCGCGGCTCGCCTCCCATTTTGCTGCACGGCTCCCGCGTGACGGCCTGTCGAGCTCGTGCCTTGCATTTGGCGACGCCTAACTCCTTGCCGTGATGCCGTGCACCGGCTACGGAGCGGCGCTATCTTCGCCTACGCCCCGCCTTCATCCCCGTGCCCCGCGACGGCTCGTCCCGTTCGGCTGCCCCTGCAGCCCGCCTCGCCGCCGCCGCCCTGGGCTCCCTGCAGCCGCTGCAGCGCCAGCGCCCTCCCCTTGCCGCTGCCTGCTCCCGCGCCGCTGCCCCGCCTTCCCGCCGGCGCCCGGCTCTCCAGCCGCTTGCTGCTCCCGCTCTTCCGCTTGACGACTGCCCGCACTGGGGCTGCTGGACCCACCCCCTGAGAATACTGCGACGCCGACCCGCAGCCGCCGCCAGGGGCTACCCGTCAGACTGGCCGCGCCCGCGCACCTGCCGCAGCTTCGCTGCAGCCGCCTCCCTCCTTCCATTCCTCTTGCATGCCCCGACGCGCGTGCGGATCGTCTCTGCCGCGCTGCGACGCAAAGATGCGCGGCGCAATGCTCCCGAACGTGACCACGGCTGCTACGGCACACCGCAGAGCCGAGAGCACCCATGGAGACACCGAACTCTCCTCCATCTCCTCTCTCGTTATCCCCCTTCTCCTCCCCCTCGTCCACACCGTCCTCCGGCCTCTCCCCCGCTTCCTCAGCTGCACCTATATCGATGGCTGCATGAGATGGCAGATGGCGGGAGGACGAGAGGGAGGGAAGGAGAGAAGCGCGAGAACTCAATGCATGCTAAAGCACGGGTGCAGAATGGCCCGAAAGCCACTGCAAACTCTTCGCGGCCGCTCCCGACCTTACAATGTCACTACCCTTCTCATACACTGTTGCCGTCTTCGCTTGCCTTACACTCGAGCTCATCCTCATCCTCGCCTCGCTCATTTTCGGGAATGCTCTGGAATGCTCTGTACACAGAGAGAGATACCAATGAGACACTGAGATTTGATGGTGGCTTCGAGTCCGCGAACAGATCTCCTTTACGCGAGGCGGATGAGACACGTAGGCCTGTCTCGCACAGCCACTCCATTCGTGGGGCGTAAGCCAAGGCTGTGATGACCGCAGAAACGGCGAAAGGCCCTGGGACTTGATGTTTCTTGGGAGATCCTTGGCAACTGTCGGAGTCTGTTGGGAGACTCTAGAGCACCTCGGAGTAGTCCTTCTTGAACAGCTCTTGGAGCCCTATTCGGCCACTTTGGGGCCCTCGTGGGGGCCTCCTGGGCCATCTTGGAGCCATGGTGCGGGTTGGGAGGCGTCTGGGATCCGGGTGTTGGCCCTCTTGAGCAGCTCCTGGGGCGTCCGGGAGCTCTGTCAGACGCCTGCCTTGGGTCACCGATGAGTATCTTTTAACCGATCCCCATCCCCGGCGGCGTGGCCTGGGCCCCACTGGCCGATCTACCCCCCCCAGATGGGGATCTGGGCCGTTCCATTCGGGTTCCGAGGGGCGTATCCCCAACTGGGGTGGTAATTTGGTGGGGGTCTCGAAGGGGATGGGGATGGGGATGGGGATGGGATAAACGATACCGAACCAATGGAGGAGACGAGAGGTGCGGGGAGGGGGGGCTGCGAGTGGAGGTCCACGCGCGGAGCTCGTGGATAATGCCTCCCCGAAGCCCGCTCGCCTCGGGCGTCGCGGGCTCCCCGAGGGCAGTCTTCCTGTCGAAGACGAAGGGCTTGCCGAGGTGCTGCGACAGCGCCTCCCCGGCGTCGCTGGGCCGCTGCTTCTCACACGCGGCATGCTGGGGCAACCAAACCAAGACGTGCCCCTTCACACGGGGGGCTTGGGCTCGGGCGCGCCAGGCCAGCAAGGGAACCCGTGCGACCTATGTACGGGGGTGAAACTGGATGCTGGCCTTCGTCAAACACGGCGCAAACAAGATGTCATCCAATGATGTGTATGTATTAATGTGCGCAAGCGACAGATAGCACCCACGTCTGCCTGGTATACCTGTAATGTAAGATCAAATGACGCAACCCTTGGCAAACTGTTCAAGCTAACTTCTATTGAGATTCCGTGCTGGGGCCCGAGATCGTCCCCACGATCATCACTGCTGCAATTGACTTTCAGTTCTGGAAACATATGGCGGACGAAATCCCGCGCCAACCGTCGAAGGGTTCTGCTAACTCAAGACTCTAACGACAAGACGGGATCTGCCCCTTTTTTCCATTGGGCTTGTAAGGCGGAGTGCAAGAATGGCGGATGAGGAGAACAGCGTGGAGGAGAAGGGGAAGGCGAGGACCAGGAGGACTACGAGGAGTAAGGCAAGTACAACAACGAGGGCTCCGAGGACGAGCTCGAGAAGGAGGACGGCTACACACACGACGAGGTTTAGAAGTAATGAAACGTGGAAGGCGAAGACAGCGCGGATGCAGCTCGATGAGGACGACGAAGAGGACGAGTAGGACAAGGCGGGGGAGGACGAGGACGACGGGGAGGACGACTAGGAGAAATACAGCACTAAACACCTCGTGGATGACAATCAGGAGGACAAGGAAGACAATGACAATGATGAGAACGATGACGAAAAGGGTATGACGAAAACGACGGAAAAACGTGAAACAAAAACACAATCCTTGGGACTTCCGTGGCTACAATGAGGGCGGGGGCCCGTCTGGGGCTGCCTTGGAGCCTCTTGGGGGCCTCATGAAGGCCTTTTTGTGATCCTCTTGAGAGCTTCGGCGTCCCTCTTGGGTTGCCTGGGCGAATCGTGGGGTTCTTCGGGGGCCCTTGCCGTCTTGGCGCCCTTTTGGGCCGTCGTGCGGTTCTATCGGGCCGACCCATCTCGGGGCGCTCTTTGGGAGCCCAAAAGCGCCCTCTGGGGGCCTCATCGAGATTCTGCCGTGCACGTTTCGGGCCCACCTGGGGCCGCCAGAAAAGGCCCCCCAGAAAACGCTGCCGACACAATGTTGGAGCACAGCATCGCCTGGCAAAAACGGGAGCGAATGCTTCTCGTCTACTGGGCTCGCAACACGGAACAAGTGTGAGGAATGAAGAGCGGGACGAGAAGGCGGCCGATGAGGATGATGGCACAATAGAGGATGACGAGAAAACGGGGATGACAGGACTACGAGGAACAAGGTGGAACACGGACTTGCAAGACGAGCGCGAGGAAGACGGCAAGGACGAGGAGGAAGAGGAGGACGGCGTAGAAAACGAGGATCGCGCGGATAAGGAGGGGGGGGGAGCGGGGAGGACGAGGACAAAGTTGTTTTATGTGGTGTTCTCTCTCTCTCTCTCTCGGAGGAGGAGGAGGAGGAGGAGGAGGAGGAGAAGGGGGAGACAGAGGAGAAGGAGGAGGACGATGAGGATGAGGAGGACTAGGGCAGGGCGGGGAAGGACAAGGGCGATGGGGAGACCAACTTCAAAAACCACTTCAAGGCTATCGTCGCAAACGGTCTCGATTGTGCTGATGCCTGTGAGGTAGTTGCTGCCGCCAGGCGTTGTCGACGAGCGCAAGCGCACTGCCATATGCGAGCGTGCCACCGTCGCTCGATGGAGTCGGCCGCCACCTTTGGCGGAAAGATCCGGGCTGCAACCTCGAATCACAGCGCCTGCGGAAAAGAGGCGAGGCACGATGGAAGACAGAAGCGAGCTTGTCCTAGAATTGATAGTTTCGGACCTCGCAGGCCATTTATGGCAGAGGGCGTCGTAGTGAGCAGAGTTTATATCCAACTCTTCACTCTGGTTGTGCTTCGAAATTGCTCAGCTTCCTGGCGTCCCCCAAACGGGCACGCTGCCATCTCGAATCGGCGTACATCTTGATTTCAGCCTAGCCTGCTTGCATGCCTGTGCAAATTGTCGCATATGTTCACGCCAGACCTTCGCTGCACTGCTCCGGGATGGCCGCTACGATGGTGCCGAGGGACTCCTCCATGTGAGGGATCTTCACATCGGTGCCGACGGCTGCCTTGAGTACCATCTCAACGTCCACTGCATTCAACTCTCCCAACCCACCCTCTTTTGTTCCGCAGGGCTGGCCAATTCAGGAGCAAACTCAGGGCGATTGGTGATCTCGGCGACCTGCACGGCAATACATGCTCTAGGACAAAGAGATCACCCGCCGAACCATGTCTCTCCGCAGCGCATGTCGAACGTGCAACTCGCCGACGTCTGGAGATGTCGAGCGTGTACCTTCAGGGCTAAAACTCCTTTTTTCCCACCAGGCGCTAAGGTACGACCTCCGCATACCGATGACAAGCCTGTCTCTCGCTTTAAGGCAGCATCGCTTACACGCAGCATTTTTAAAGGAGGGGCCAGCCGAGCAAATCTCTGATACCAGAAGGCTGCTGCTGGACCAACGTCACTCGTTTGAGACTAACCACATCGCCGTAGGACGGGGTCTTGCTGATGACGCTGCAAAGCGCCACCATTTACAACAACATCGTTTGAGTAGGGACTGACCGTCCAGGCATTCTTGTAGGCCTACAGTGAAATGTTCTTAGAACCCCAAAATGGGCAAAAGGAAAACACAGTGCTCTTAGAACAAAAACCCGATGTGTTAAAACAAGACAGTCCCAGCCAGAAATGATCTAAGAACACTTCGTGGAAACCACAAGAAGGTTCTCAGAACATTGTTTGGTCGGCCTATGGGCACGCCGAGACCCTTCGCCACTGCTTGAATCGTGTCTCGATGTGACTGTCCAGCCCAGACCTGGACCACCGTGCCAAGAGGTGCAAGCACGCGCGCCATCGCCAACAGCTCTGGTCAGAACCGCCCTCTGCCCCGTGGGGCGAGGAGCCGGCCCGCCGGACGTGGCCCATCCCGAATGATCCGCCGCTGCAATACCTCGCCGCCGCTCTTGTCCGGCCGGTGCGTCTACTTATTCCAAATCTCGCAACAAAAGGGAAGTGGAGGGTTTATCCGAAGGGCTCAGGCGACCCGTCCTCCTCCTCCTCCTCCTCCTCCTCCTCCTCCATCCTCCTCCTCCTCCTCCCCTCCTCCTCCTCCTCCTCCTCCTCCTCCTCCTCCTCCTCCTCCTCCTCCTCCTCCTCCTCCTCCTCCTCCGCCCTCCTCCTCCTCCTCCTCCTCCCTCCTCCTCCCCCTCCACCTCTTCCACCTCCTCCTCCTCCTCCCCCTCCTCGGGTCGCCTACGGCGACGGGGGGAAACCGTGCAAAGGGAGGGGGTCACAACCCTCCCAGACGATAAGTTTTAGACCCCCCCAAGACCATCCCAGAAAGGGCGGCCCTTTTCCCAGACCTCCCCGAACCCCCTAAGACAACCCACATCAGACCCCCACCCCAATGTAACCCTCCCCCCACTTTCCTATGGAATCCGGAGTAGCAATCGGCACCTCGGCTCCTGCTCCAGGACCATCTTGGAGGCCATCTTCGGCGTCTCCGAGGCCCTCTTTTGAGCAGGGACTGACCGTCCCGGAATTCCTGTAGTCCTACCACGAAGCGTTCTTAGAACCCAAAACTGTTCTCTAAGAAGAAACGTAATGTTCTTAGAACATGCGCCCGATGTGTTAAAATAAGCCGCTCCCAGCCAGAAATGATCTAGGAACATGTCGTGGAAACCACGAGAAGGTTCTCAGAACACTGTTTGGCAGGGCTGTGGGCGAGCCAGGGCGCTCCGCCACTGCCTGACCTCGGGCGATCAGGGGGCGACCTCTGGAGGCCCCTGGGCCGCCTCGGGCCGTCGGGGGGCCGACGAGAAGCAGCTGCCGGGAGTCCTCCGAGCACCTGCGCGGCCGGAGAGCGGCGCGCTGCTCGGCCGGCCGGCGCGGGAGCGGGCTGGGCGCTCCGCTCGGGGGGCGGGCGCCCTGCCTGCCGGCGGCCGGACAGCCGGGCAGGCCGCCGCGGTCGGGCTCCGGAGTCTTGGCTGCCGAGGCGGCCCATCGGTCGGGAGGAGAGGGTCGAGACATGAAGAAGCGCAGCGGGCAGGACATCCACCCCCACGAGAAATCACCCCGGCACGCGAAGCCGTCTCGTAAACGCACCCAAGTGAGGAATCAGACGGGGCGGGCAGGGCTGTTTAGTGGACGCCCAGGGCCGCTTAGGAAACGCCCATTGTCGGGTCCGGGTGGTGTCTTCCTCCCTTGGAAGTAGGCAGGCGCTGAAAAAAGACTGGGCGTCCGCCCGCCCTTTAAAGAGGACGGAAAAGGTGAAGCCACTCGATGATTGAAGCAGGAAGGCGCTCAAGGTAGAGGGGAATCTGGGACTCCAGGGCTACCTGCTTTCAACGACCGATGGGTCACTCCAAAACGGCTCGCTGGTCAAAGCTTGGGCAAGGAACGACCTCGCGCTGCTCGCCGCCCCAAAACTCGAGGCGGAGGCGTCAAGGTACTCGCGCGGCCATAAAATAACGCCACAAGACCTCGCGCCAGCGCTGGGCTCGGCGGGGATGGGCGGAGCTGGGGCCAGAATTCTCTGGCGCTCCAGCACGGCCCTCATTCCTGGCACATCGCGACTGTAGAAGTCTTCCCATTCCTCGTGCACTCCATGCTCCAAAACAGTTTCCGGGAGCATGGGAACCTCGCTCGCCCCGCCGCCGAAGCGAACCATGGCCGCCTCGATGAGGGCTCCTCCGAGTTGCTCGCTGTGACAGGTCATGCCCGTCGCCTCGTAGATCTTCTAGAGAATGCGGAGTCCTCGCGAAAGGCAGCCGTTCGAGCTCCTCAACACATGTACAGTGGAGGCCAGTCCACGAGAACCCTTCCACAAGAAACCCGACCCCGCGACACCAGGACGTCCAT